CAATAAAAAAGAACATAATTGATCACATATGTGGAATGTAAACACAGAAGTATCACTACCGGGGCCTGACAACAAGTAGAAAAGCTACGAATTGACAACTAAGTACTATGATCTATTTATGATATAACTGAGTGGCTGACATGACGCAGAAGTTTAGATTTATTTCTCTCAATGACAGGTGGAGGCAACCTCTTTTAAAACATCAATCTCAGTGTTATTAGAAATCACATACAGTCCCTTATGAGGCTAAAAGTCACTGACTAAATTACTTCCTCTATATGGATGCTAATACGAGAAGTAGTTCACACAGAAGCTTTATTTCTGGCTCTCAGGTACACTTTCAGTAAAATGTGTTAAAGTAACAACTAAGCAAAGGTACTTTACAAAGTGAACTAACAGAATACTTTATTACTATTAATGCACCATGAGGAAAGAAGCAAAAAACCCCAATAGATATAAATAGTACAACAGTTACAATAGTCATGACTACTAGTTTCTTTTCCATCTCTTATAAAATAAGCCATCTCATTAGTGCTCAAAAATAAAAAAAAAAAAAATTCTCATCTCTACCAATTACTGAGCAGATTATTTAAAACTTTCACATCTTTGTTATACAACAAACTAAACTGGTAAATTCAAGTGAACAAAACTCAAATTATGACAGAACGGGAAAAACAAATTCCATGAAAAATAGAGCAGTTTTTTCCCCTGAAGAATATACGCTTCAAAATTATCACAATAAACTACTAGAAAAAAACTACTTTAATATTTTTCTTATGTGCAAAATTCTATGACAGACTATTAAGATCAATATATTTATAAACATAGATCCATGGGAAAGCCTTTCCAGAACCACCTCTTGTAATGATTCAGTAAGTATCTGTGATGGTTTAGGGATTTTTTGAGTAAAACGTGCTCTTTTTACTCAAAGAGGAAACAAACAAAACCCAATCCTAAGTATAATGAAAACAAGAAATACCTCATTTATCTTCTTTTCAGATGTTTCATTTTGGTTATTTTTGAATTCTTCATTTATCTTTTGTCTTGCAGCTAAATAAAGTAAGCAAAGTAAATAAAATGTAAACAATATAATAATATCTTGTCTTTGTGATTGAACAAAGCTCATGACAATAAGGCTGTGATATCTACCTCAGGTCTGCTTCTTAACTTGGCTTAATTATGCTCTTTTGGCTACCTATTTACCCTTTTCCTCTAATAAAAATATACATATCAACACCTTCTTGGAGCGCTCATTCTGAAAAATACAAGATTTCCACAGAACTCAGGTGATGTTATATTTTGAGTTTACTGGTACAGGAGGAAGATACAATGCCAGATCTGCTCATCTAGCCTTCTCCGAGGAGACCTCACTGTGATCTTCCAATACTTGGAAGCAGGAGGGGGACCAACTTTTTACACAGGTAGACAGTGACAATCTTGGGGGGAATGGATTTAAATTGAAAGAGGGGAGATTTAGGTTAGATGTAAGCAAGAAATACTTCAAAGAGTAGTGTGGCACTGGAACACTCTGTCCAGAGAAGCAGTGGACGCCTCCTCCCTGGAGGTGTTCAAAGTCAGGCTTGATAGGTTGGTTCCATGGCAGCCCAATCTAGCAGCTGGCAACCCTACCCACAGCAGTGGGGAACTAGATGATCTTCAAAGTCCCTTCTAATCCAAACCATTCTATGATTGATTCTGTGAATCCAGCTAGCTATTTCTCATAAAAAAATTGGATAAGACAGCATGATTTCTACTGAAATTACGTTGATCCCATCTCCTTACCTTGCATTTAGGCTCTTGCATCACATAATCTCTCATTTTTGTGGAAGCATTAGCACTGTTAAGTACAAACTGGAGCTGCAGAACTGACACCACCTTCTCTGGAAAGGTAGTATTTTTAGCTCTCTTCACCACTTTCATATCCTTAAAAAAAAACAGCACTGATACAGCTTCCTCACCATAACATTAAAAAGTAGCTCTAATGGACACAGCAATGACACCAATAAGAATCAATCTTATTTTGGCACGTAACATGCAGTCATCACACAAAAGCCCATCTTACCTTCAAGGGCTCTTGTATCATTCTTAAAAACTTCTTGTCGAGTTCTGTGTAACAATTTAAAAAGCCTCAAAGCCTGTAAATACAAGATGAACAGAATTAGTGTGCTTGCAAGGAAGATTCTTAGTTAAAACAACTATGCTGTGATTAAAAGTGTTTTGGTTGATCTTTCACAGCACTTCCATTTAGTACACTTGGTATGAAATCAACATTTGAGGTACTTTACCTCAATTCCTGATCAGATAGCTTGCAGCCAAAGCAGATTTAAGAAAAAATCCTAGATGGTTCTACATATTTCATATCAGCCTGAAATACTGCAGAACCAGCAGTATACTTCTAAATAATCTTTTAACATAATAAAAATACTTTCATGCAAGCATATCCATTATGCCAATATAAATCAGAAACAACAAAACCAGAATAACTGTGCAAATATGTCACCAAAGGGACTGGCACGATCATTTTAGCGGATATTCTGCAATTTAAAAAAAAAAAGCAAAAAAAGCAAAGAAATCTAAATGGCCAAAGTACTCTTACAAGACATTGTAAAGAAAGTGAATTTCAAATGAATTTCAAAATTGTACAGTCACTAGTTAGAACACATTTTTAATGTCCCTGTGAAAAACCTAGTTAATACCTTCTTCAGGTGACATGGAAAATCCAAAATAAAACAAAGTCTTTCCCTAAATACAACTGCCAGATTGGCCAGAAAATCAGGATTTACAATGTAACAATGACAGATCTGCTTACAGATATACAGCAAAAATACTGAGAATCACAGCTTACAGTCATACAGTTTTGACTGCTTATCACATAGAACGTAATCAATTAATGCAATCTTCAGGAAATCCCGACTCCATGTCAAGAAAGATTGTTAAGGGGACGTCTTCTGAAGTTATTTCTAGTATTTTCTAGTATGTTTAGGCACTTCAGAAAGTTCTCAGTATTTCATGATAACCTCGAATTGTGTTCTCACAATTACTATTCAACAATTTTCTCAGAAGGAAAAAGAGGAAACACACGCTTGTAAATGAGAAATACTTATGTTTTTCACTAGCACTCTTTTTATCTGTGGACTGGAGCAGTAAGTAGGCCTATGCCTTAGAGGTGAAAGACCAATCATGGGAGAGTGGCTAGTAAATACATCCTGACAGGGCCCTGGAAAAAATATTGCTTTCAGTCCCTGAACGGCAGAGAAAGCAGCAGCAGGCTTCTATGGATGCTACTACTTCCACCAGGCATCAAGCCATTTTCCTGATTCCTCTGCTATGCTGCACACTTGGCTCAACATAATTCATCCTGAGATTTAAAGACACAAAGACAGATGACAAGAGAGAAAAGCTATGAGCACTAAGAGCCTTTTACCAGTTTACCATTACTTCTGTAATACAACATTACAACTTCAGTGCTATTACAAACTCCAGCAAATTCCAATCTCACTTCACCTCAGCGAGTAGACATTATAACTCAGTATCAAGTATCCTGCTGTTGCGGATATACTGCTGCAATATAGATCTTTGTGCCATAAGGCAGACCAGTACACTCTCTACCACTACTCAATGTTATGCTCATGCAAAAACCTTTTCTTTTACAAGACTTGGTATAGGAGTTGACAATGAGTTAAACCACACGTGCAGACATATGGAAGAGGTGGACTCTGCTAACTCCCACTCGCTTTCTATGTCCTCAATAATTCACAGCCAGCAAAACCTGTGCTGTTCATGAACCATTCCCCAGGTGGTTAAAACTGCAGAAAACAGACTGATAAATGACATTAGCAGACAGCAACTGCACTTCTTGTCCTATAAATCTATTTTAGTAGATGTGACCATGCCATTTGAATAGCATATTTTAAAATATATCTGTTCTTTGTTTTCATCATCCTTGCAAATAGCACAATCAACATTAATACTGGCTTTGAGTCAAAGACATAGGCCTGACAAAATCAGAGGAAGGATATGATTATTTTGAACTCTCTGATCGGCATTTTTCATGTAACTTCCAATTAAATATAAGCAAAAATCTAGTAAGTACATTATGTGGGCCGCTTCTATTTACACTTCCATAACCGACGAACAGACCCGCAGAAGCTGGCACCGAACACAGCACGACAGACAGATCCCGCCCCGCCGGCGGACAGCGGCAACAGCTCCCTCTCCTCGACGTCCGTTCCCTTCCCGGAAGCTCAGGCGGGTACGGGCCGAACGGGGAAGGGACGGCGACGACCCCGACCGGACGACCCCGCGCGGGCCGCCTCCGTCCTTTCCCCGTTCGGCCCAGGCTCCAATTGCCTCAGTGCAGCCCCCGAGGATCAGGGAAACCCGATCCGTTGGGCCTGAATCCGGGCAGCCCTCCGCCCAGCGGGACCAGCTAGCAGAGAGAACGGAAGCCCCCTCCCCGCCACGCATGCGCACTGCGCTCACCCTCCCGCGGCTCGCCATGGCGACCGATGTGCGGAAGCGGAAGGCACGCTCGGAGTTTCCGGCCCCGCCCCAGGCCCGGCACAGCCGGGTGCAGCCTACAACGCTGCCCGGCCGAGCCCAACGAGCCACCCCTCTGGTGCCGAACAGCGTTCGCTCCGTCCCAGTTGAGGCCGTTCGCGCCGCGCTGTACGGCCCTGCTTCAGCTGCACGCAGTGCGACCCCGCGCGGCCCCGCCACGGCCATCGCTGGGCTGTCTTATGCTGCAAAACTTAATCTTTCTTAAAAAAAAAAAGGGGGCGTAAGGATTTAAAATGTAATTAGCTTTACTGCCTTTTTTTTTTT